GTTTACATAGATGAATATGGCCAGTAAATGCACATTATTTACGATCTAATTGTCACATTAGATCATTATGATAACATAATATATGCTTTCAGTGATTTCCTGAAGATAAATACCAAAAAATAACGCAACTGGAATCACTACAGCAGTCGTAATTGGCAGTCTGAAGCAAGAGATCACGATGACATCTGATGGCGTATGCAGGTGTTGTAGTGCTGTCCCAATATTAGGGGTAAATTTTGAAGCCCTTCCACTCCACACTCGGTTTTAAGGGCCAAGGGGAAGGAAACAGAGAAGAGGTAGGGCTACAAAAACAGAATTGGGATTTGTCCTAAGTGTGTTGAAGCAGGGTTAGAACTAAACTGTGCAGGGCTGAGGCCCTCAAGAATCTGAGTTTGACACCCCTGTTTTACGGTATAGATTGTTTTAACATTACTTTTCTCGTTTCTGCACCTCTTCACTTAATGAAGCCTCAAAGAACAACTAGAAGGAGAAGTAAAACCTTTTTGCCCGTGTGCACTAGCAACTGAAACTTGTCATTGAAACTCTTGTAAACCCCGACTGATTTATTGGGAAAACGGAACTAGATTACATATTGGTGAAATGGTGTCAAATGTATGTGAATTTGTATGATTTCATATTTACAAAAACAGCATGCTTTATAAATCAGTTTAGATGATTGAGATCATGATTTTCATAAGAGCCTTTTGCACATTTGCATAGAGCTCCCTATCTTATCTCTGTGATTAATACCGGTTATATTTCCATTTGCTGTGCCCGTACACCTGTATTTTAAAGCAGCAAGCAGTTCTTATCTTTCGACCGCAAGACAAATCGCTGTTCCCTGATAAGTGAAGACAGATCAGCTTCTTCTGAAGGAATTTGTTTCTAATGCACATCCACGAAATGTTTCCTTTGTGCGGCGCTTTATGTTGCGATGACCCCTGCCAGCTGCCAGCGGGATGAATTATGACTGCGTGCCTGCGATGGATGCCCGCACCGTGTTGTGATGCAGGTCTGCGGTGCGTGTGCAGACTGGGGATGACCGAGTGACTGTTCATCATCTGCACAGACAGAAGTAACAGCCCTGCAGGCCTGCCCAGATCGCCGCCTCAATTTTTTTCTCTCACTCTCTCTCTCTCTCTTCGCCAGGACTCTGTTGCCATGATAATGAATACAAATCTATCATCCGACTGTGCGCAATTGTGCCTCAGTGTATTGCTCAAAATTGCCCAAGCTTTGTGTCAGAGCAGCACAGTCTCTTGAAATGTTTCCAATCGGCTTTTCACAAACTGGTTTTGTGTCCGCACAGTTTAAAGAGTGACCCGCTTTTTGTCCTCGCTCTCTCGCTTTCATGTGGCACTCAGTCACTATGAAACCATCTTATGAATGTTGATTGTTTTCTTGCTTTACTCTCACCGCTTGCTAAGTAGAAATGATGGCTCCCGTTTTAGACAGTCCCATGTTGTTGACACATGTCTCTATATGGGGAAGCCTAGAGGATTTGCGTCTAGAATTCACAGGAGTTTCAAATTCCTCATACATTCAGCAGTCCCAACGCGCTCTCATTGTGTTACAATGATTTTCTGAAAAGCTCTAAGTTTTTTATTCAAATGTATTTATTTTTAGATCACAAAAGCGCTTAAGTTGTTTGTCAGTGTTCAGCTGATACAACAAGTGGTGCAACAGAAAAGAACCTACTGACAGCGGTGCTTTTCAGTGTTATCTGAGATATGGATGTGTGTGACGACAAGACAAAGTGTCTTTGACCTCCCTTCACCTCTCTTTCAAGTGTCTAATACTCACAGGTTGATAGCGGCATTGACCCGGGAAATAGAGAGGTGTGTGGGTGAAAGCAGAGGTACCGCTGGACCTGGAGATTGCTGAGGAAACAAATTATATAACTAGTGGAGAGTGTGCACTTCTTGCACTGAACTCTTATTTGAATACTTCTCTGATAAACAGTAGACCAAGAGAGATGTACATAGTATACTATTAAAAACAACTTTGGCAAAAATGACCTGTATGATTGAATACTTTCAGAGATATTCTGCCATATAGCACATGAGAGGACTTGTGTATGAAAGTGAAGTGACGCTACTGATGCTGAGAGGTCATGTGACAGTAATAACAGTACCTAATCAGAGTGTATGCTATTTTAGACACACCAATGAAAATATGAAGAGGTCATATGATTTAAAGTTGTAATTTTTATATATTTGAATGTGGTGGGAAGAGAAATTAACGTATGTGTATTAAAGATATGGGTGTGTCTCATTCTGTTTGCTCTTTCATGAATACAGTTAATATGAATTTACTGGCTAGGGCCTGGATTGACTAAACACCAATGGAGAGGTTTTAAATTGCAGTGTAATTGCTGTTTATTTAAAGTATTGATAGATTTAGCACATTTAAATACCACCAAATCACGTTACAGGTTCAAAACTTAAATATATATAAAATCCCATGTATAAAAACTTATTTATACAGTTGAAGTCAGAATTATTGGCCCCTCTGAATTATTAGCACACCTGTTTATTTCCCCCCCCCCTCCCCCCCAGGTTTTTGTTTAAAAGAGAGATTTTTTCCACATTTCTAAACATAATAGCTTTAACAACTAATTTCTAATAACTGATTTATTTTATCTTTGCCATGATGACAGTAAATAATATTTGACTAGATATTTTTCAAGACACTTCTATGCAGCTTAAAGTGACATTTAAAGGCTTAACTAGGTTAATTAGGTTAACTAGGCAGGTCAGGGTATTTGGCAAGTTATTGTATGATGATGCTTTGTTCTGTAGACAATCAAAATAAAAAAAGGTTAAAGGTTATAATAATTATAAGCTCATAATTTTGACCTTAAAATGTTTTTTTTTTTTTAAGTTAAAAACTGCTTTTGTTCTAGCCAAAATAAAATGAATAAGACTTTCTCCAGAATAGAAAATAATGTCAGACATACTGTGAAAAATTCCTTGGCCTTTTAAGCATCATTTGCAAAATATATACCATTTACATTTTTTAAATAAGTACAATTAATTTACAGAATTTAAAATTACACTTTATTGATACCTTTTATGCAAATTAGGAAACTTTTTAGAGGGTTTGTTTAATTATGAAGATGAGATAAAACAAATATGAAGTACTGCATTTTTTTTCTAAAAAAAAAAAACTTTACGTCAAAAGTTACTTTTAATATTTTGTGTAATATTGATGTTTGTTAATGTAAATACTCAAAAACTTTTTGCACAGTAAAGGGAGTTATAGTATCTCCTATATGAAAGAACAGATACTAAACTGCCTGAAATAAATTGTCTTTTTCTTTTTTTTCTGCAAAAACCAATCCATAAAGGTGACAAATTTGCATGAAATTTCTAATATCAGTCTATGGTCTTTGCTGGCTATGAACATTGTTTGACACTTTAGTTGAAGCTTGGAAGGGTTTGGTTAATGTTATGGACGTATTGAAAATATGCTTTTTTTCTATGCTTTTAAAGCACTTCTTTCAAGAATAGACTTTCAGAAAGGAGGAGTTTACAGAGACTGACTCTTTAAACGACCCGTTTCAGACACTGTTAGACAACAGATGATGCTGAAATGTATATTACAATGTAAGTGAAAATGTAAGTGTTTTTTGCCCCTGGATGGCTGTAAACCTACTGTAGCGAAGCTCCAGAACAAATCGAAGTGCCTTTAAAATAGCATAATAAGGGCATTTTAACTCATGGCAGGAGATACAAACAATACCTGCAAGTGCATATACTGAACTCATTGCTTGGCAGACATTTGATTGGCACTAGTGCAGCAGTCAGCGTAACAAACAAGTGAATTAATTTCCCACTGTCAAACAAAAACACAGATCAATGTAGTAAACCAAGTAGTGCAAGTTTCTTTTTCATTTTTTCCCCCTGACTGGCAGTCTAGCCAGCGGATGCAGCTGATACAGTGGAGTCCTCAATCGGACCAGACAGCTGACTGCTCCAATCAGTCTCCCTTACTCTTCCCTTGGACCAATCCGGCCAACCCAATTACCAGAGTCACTCTCTAATTGGCTGCCGACCCCACTGGCAGGCACAATGAACTGGGTCAGCGACTCACAGCTTTATGCTGTTGTATTCTGATGTAACAGCATGCAGCATAAATGTATTATTGTTTGGGTAGGACTATTGTGATGGTAATTGCTTGAAGATTGTGATTCCCACTTGTTCGTAGCTGCAGTTCTCTAATGACTAGCTGCTGGGAGGTAAAGTGAAGCTCTTGTTCACAGTGTGGGAACAGCTCTGTCACAGAACCCCAAAACATATGGGTTCACTCATTAAGGCCTGTTCTCTCCATGCATGCATGGCACCTAATAATAGCACACGGCTCCTCAAGAGCTCCTTTATTTAGTCTCAAAATTCAAAGCTTTGTCTTGTGAGGAGTTCAAAACGCTCGTGTACCTTCTCTAAAATCGTGACAGTTTCCCTGGTGATCCTCCTCTCAGATTTACAAGACCATTTTTAGCTGCATACACACTGTGCCCGAGGAAGAACACTGTGCTGTGAGTAATGTTGACTCTGTCTTTGTCTGTGTGGGTCACATTGGCCAGTGAGCCGTTTGCTGGCTCCAGGGTTTTCCTTTGACTCTGTGGTTTCCATAACACTTGCTCCATGATTATACAAGTCATTTTTTTAGAAAAGACTATGGCATTTAAAAATTGAATATAGGGGTAGTTTGTAATTCGGTGATATTTTTAACCCCGATGTTGTTCCACACAAACCTGTATGACTTTAATCAGTGTGACATAAATAATACATAACAATATCTTCCTTCATTTTTAGTCAAACTCTCCCTTTAACTCTGAGCATAAAAACACAACAGATTCACAAATCTCACTTCACATCCTGTTTATTGAACTTCTGTGATGTACATGCGTTGAGTGAAACATCTTATAATGAAAAAAAAAAAGATTAACAGCCCTCACATTCACAAGCCACAGCTTTCGTTTCACATTAGCGCAGGAGGAGCCGTAGTTCTCATTCATTGTCCGGCGAGTCGAAGAGATAAAACCCACCGACAGCAATGAATGTGAATCAGGACCCAGAGCTGTGACAGTAGATGCAGAATCCAGTCTCTCGCTTCACTGATCAGCTGGGACAGCTTCACAGACACTATACAGCAGCCATCTTGGCCAGCTCAGCAACAAAATGGACTCACACATGTAGTCTCTGGCACTTAAAAGGTCTGTGTGGTCATGGAGTGTGTTCGAGAGGCAGGGTACACTCAACACTCGATGGTTTTTCTCACTTGCAAACTCACCGACAGCGTTGAATGTTCTCTGAGACTCGCCTGGGCACTGAAACACACTTAGGGCACTGCTGGGATTGTGTGGCTTTGGACATGCACACTATAAAATGGACATAAGCACACTCATGTATGTCATTTGATATTGGTCAGAAGACACTTTAGTTAGGTCACAATTCACTGCATTAACAAAGCATTAACTAACACTAATATATATATGTTTATTAGTAGTTAGTAAGGTAGAAGCTGGGTTTAGGATAGGATTAGGGATGCAGAAAAAGATCATACTTTATAACCACTAATAAATAGTTAATATCTTAATATAGGCAGGTTATAAGCCAGGAGCAAACAGCATGGATTGTGACCTAAACTAAAGTGTTACCGAAAGTTTCATTGTGTAAGTGAATGCACATCAACAAATAGCATACGGATAAACATAAATAATAAATTGGATTCAAATATGAAAGAAATGATTATAAAAAAAGAGAATAGCAATATGTAAACACATTTTTGAATAGATTTTTTTATCATTTTTATATAATGTTTTCAGTCTAAATATAGAATATATATATGATAATGCATTAAATCAAATCAACGCCTCACATTGATCTATCCTATACAGCAAATACACAAATACGTGACTAAAATTTCATGACCTTTTATAGTTTAGGCCGGTGTTTCTCGACCACATTCTTGTCCGACCACCAACACTGCATGTTTTGGATGTCTCCTTTGTCTGTCACACCCATTACAGGTCTTTCAGTCTCTGCTAATGAATTGGTGATCTAAATCAGGTGTGTTTGGTAAGGGAGACATGGAAAATATATGCAGAGCTGGTGGTTCTCCAGGAACGTGGTTGAGAAACACTGATTTATGCCAATCTACTTGACTATATTGTACTGTATTATATTGGATAGCAGTACAATTTAGTTATAATTAACACTAGTATATTTAGCATTGCTACACTATAATATACAGTACTATATTGGATAGTAGCACAATTTAGTAATAATTAACACTGTCTGAAAAGTTTGTACAGTAATAATGCATTCACACATGCACATAAAAATGACACAAAAATATATTTAAAATAATAGAACCACAATAATGCCAATCGACATTCACACCTATTCAATACAGCTAAAAACTTCATACAATTATAACATTGTATACTTATATATATATATATATATATCACACTAGTGCATACATACTTATATAAATTATATTATCTATTGACAAATTAGTTTTTTGACACATAGGCACTGTGTGCTCTCAGTCCATGAGTGGAAGTTTGGGTGTCTGGTGATCTGAATCAGGTGTATTTTGTTAAGGAGATGTGGAAAGTAAGCTGGTGCTCCTCCAGGAATGTGGTTGAGAAACACTGGTTTAGGCCAATCTACTACACTATATTGTACTGTACTATCTCCGATAGCAGTACAATTTAGCTATAATTAACACTAGTATAATAGTTTAGGCCAGTTAAGCATTGCTACACTGTAATATACAGTACTATATTGGATAGTAGTACACTTTAGAAATAATAAACACTGTCTGAAAAGTGTGTACAGTAATAATGCATTCACACATGCACATAATAAAATACACAAATTATATAAAAAAAATAGAATCACAATAATGCACATCAACATTCATACATATTCAATACAGCAAAAAAAAAAATCTATAAATATATTATTACATAAATGCATATTTTATAAACACACACATATATAGTAATGCATTCAAAAATGTTTGGTAATTAAACACATATGCAGGTTTGGAAAAGTGTGTATGTACGTATGTTTGTATCTATTGACCAATTTGTTTTTTGACATAAGGCACTATAAGCTTCCAGTCCAAGTTTGGGTGTCTGGGGATCTGGTCATGTGCACAGGGAAGTGGCGCAGGTTCTGCATGAAGTATAGCATGAGCTCTGTTGGGTCTATTATCTGATTGTGGGGGGAAGGGAGAAGGAGCTGAGAGAGAGAGAGAGAGCGGGAACAGGGGATTGCCGATTGGAGAAAAAGAGTAGGGGGAAGGAGAAATCGAGGGAGCGGGCAGAAGAGTGGAGGTGGTGAGTGCATGTCTGGGCAAGGGGGTGTTGATCGATTCCAGGCTCTGCATTTCCAGACAGGCTGAATGGCAAAGGTCAAAGGGTCTCATTTCCTATGAAAGAGGGGCTGTCTGAAACGAGCCTCGTCCGTTTGTTGGCTTGATCGTGTTTGGAACGCACTCACGTACGCACGTGCAAACAGAAGGGGTGGCGTGCACGCAATCCCAAACATGAAAGCAAGTTTTAAAGGACTTCTGGAGTGAGTGATGCATTACATAACAACTATCCGGTAACAAAACCTGTTTTCAAGGCTGAAGCAATCTAGATCAGCTGCCGGCCCAAACGTTGCTCTTTCGACTGTGTGAGCAGGAAAAAGTAACAGGCCTGATGTTCGTGTTTGTCCAGCCATCGAAATGACGGCTACGTGAGATGCGGAAAAGAATGGGGGGAAGGGTCTGGAAGAAAAAACAAGGCTACCATGACAGACCCCCATCCCCCACTTGGGACTTGAACTCATGACCCTCTGGTGAATGAGTTCATAGGCGTCACAGCCAGTTTTGTGGAACAAGCGAGTTCACTGGGAAACTTTACAAACTAGATTTCAAGATGTAAAACGTTTAATTTGGAAACTCAAGTATAGCCTGCAAACTTTTTAAAGCCTTTTTTTACGAGCATCCATTCTTTTCCAGCAACATAAAAGTTGTCTTTAAAATAAAAATGACATCAAGATTACATAAAAAGTCCAAACCAACAATAAAAAAACTGACCTCACATTTCCTTCAAAGAAAAAGTTTTAGATTATGACATGCACATGAAGTTCACATGCTAGTGTGTATGTGCGTGTGCATCTGCGCAAAGGCTGCTCATTTACAACACACCCGCACACTTGACATGCCATAATTGTGTTGGTCACTTCTGTTGGTTTAGTTTGGGGTGCGAGATGATTATTGATGAAGATGTCTGCAGTAATGTGGATGGCCCTTCCCCCTCGTCTGGCCGACTGGGTGTATGTCTACCTGCTCCAGACTAAATCAATAGTTTAATCCAATTGCCATTCACTTCCATAGGGATTGATATCACCCCGCATGCATACACAAACATACACACACACAGCATTAGTAGACCATTACATCCAACACGTACAGATACACTCAGCATACTAATGTTTACCACCAACAATTAGTCAAAGTTAGTAGCTGAAAAAGAACAGTTAAATGTATGGTGTACGTTTTGTTAGGAAAAAGAGCATGTCCCAAAGCCCTAACTAGCATACAAACACATGCAAACACAACACTCATGCATGCCTTGGTGGATAACATCACATTAAAATGTCCTGCAGTGATGTCCGACCGCATAAGCAACACTTGTCACATTTGTCAAATCAAATTTGTATCACATTCTAATAGCATGACAATGCATCCAAATGGAAAAGTCCGCTCTCTCCCTCTCTTTCTCTCGTGCACTCAAACAGTCACAGCAGATCACACAGGCTCTGGGTTTAGGGAGGTGGCAGGGGTTCGAGAAGAAAAACGCACTTACCACAGATGCATACACCCAGTCTGGCTCCAGTCGATCTCTGCCCCCCTTCTCCATACGTCGAGCTCGGCTGTTCCACCCCTGCATTCCTCCACCTCCCTTTTTCTCTCTTCTATTTAAAACTCTTCGTCCTCTGCCTACTTACCTTCCAGACTGACAGCTCTTTGTGAATTGCATACCTCCTCTTTCTATTCTCACCCCTTCCGCCGGTCTTCTCGGGTTCTGTCGGCCCGGTCTCTCACTCACTCTTCTTGAAGCCGTCCTCTAGCTGCTGTTAACTTAACTGCAGACGCTCTCTCTCTGTGTGTATGTGTGTGTGTGTGGGGAGAGAGAGAGAGGGAGTGGGGAGTGCAAACCGGGACACACAGCCTATGTCAGTTTGAATGAAAATTGTGAATGCGCTCCGCTTCCTTCTCCTCCCCCTCTCTCTCTCTCTCTCCCTCTCTCTCTCCCTCACTCACTCTTCATTTCCTTCCCTCCCCCTTCATCCCCACCCTACTCTCTTGCGCACTCTTTTTTTTCCTCCTCTCACCCTTTTTTGGGTGCCTGTTCTGTCTGTATTCCCTCCCATCTTCAAACATTTTCACACTCCAGACAGACATTTATATTTTTATACTTACCCCTTCCCCTCTGTTTCTCTCTCATCACTCTCTCTCTCTCTCTTTCTTGCTCTTCTCCACATTTAAACACATGCACACACATTCATGCTTTCCTTGCCTTGTGCCAGACACTTAACCCTTCGCTTTCTGTGAGCCACTACCCTAAAAATAGTGTGCATTTTGATGTTTGTTTATTGTAATGTTTTTTTTTTTTTCAGATGTGTTCAGGTTTTTGCAGTTTGGGTGTAATTTTTTACAAGGATTTTCTTTCTTAAAAGTGCTTGTTGTAACTTCATTTGTGTTTAACTGTTGCAGGTCAGTTTTATTTTGTCCCCCTTTGTGAATGGGACGAGAACCGTTTTCAAGGTATAACGCGGTTTAGAAAAGTCAAGGTTTTAAACCTGCCAAATTTTTATACTATACTGTTTTTAAGGTATGTTTTTTAATTACATTTTTTTTAGATCAACGGTATCTCCAGCAGAAAAGATACCCAAAGATGCCGATTAAATCAGTGTTTTTGAAACTAATGAATCAGCAGAAGATTTGAATTATTTAGATGGACATGTTTACTGCTCCAAAATATTTGAAATGTTTCTCTAAATAAAAT